GATCCTCTCTTAGTGAGCCTCCATACTGGATAAATGCGCACTTAGCTTCAGCTCTCCTCTATTTCGCCCCTTTTGCTTTGTTGTGTTGCTAACTACGCCATTATCTAAAATGTGATATTCTGTATGAATTTGTAGGGGTGCGTATTGCACCCATGATCACGTGTGATGAATAATATATTTTTTGATAATTATTTAGTATTCAGCAATATATATATACACTCTTTTCCAGAAAAATCAAAGCATCAAGAAGAACTATTGCGATCTTGACGAAATTTGGTACGCAAAAACATCTTGATCGAACATGGGCTCACAAGCGGCCGAGCAGTAAAATCGCTGAACACTGGTAGTTCGGTTCGAGGTTCGAATCCCGTGAACGGGCTGGCTGCATGGGCGTTTTTGAGGTTTTCCCCATGTGTAACGTGTATACGAGCCAGTTCTCCTTAGAAAGTCCTCCACGAAGGCTTCCCTCCCCTTAGGCATGATCTAGTGTGCTTTGCCGCATTCTCAATAGTGTGCTTTGCCGTAATCCCTAGTGTGCTTTGCCGTATTCTCAATAGACACACACTTGATCGAACAAAGTTTAATGTAAATCATCAAAGTTTCTCACAATTCGCAAAGTATAAAACCAGTAAGAAGAGAAGAAAAATTTATCTTTTTTTTTTTTTTTTTTTTTTTTTTTTTTTTTTTTTTTTTTTGTTTGTTGCTGCCATTGTAATTCCGTAAAGAAGAAACAAAAGATGCCATTACGACGATATCGAAGACCTTACAGATAACTAAACGACTTCGAATGTGGTCGCATTGTAGGATTGCGTGAAGCTGGGTGGTCATACCGAGTAATAGGCCGCCACCTGCAGCATACAGACACTACAAAAATGTTGGCAGCAATGGTTGTTACAAGGAAATTGCCGACGAAATGAAGGCTCTAGAAGGCCAAGAGTACAAATGCGAGGTAAGATAGGATGATCGTTCCAGGCCCGAACCGCCCCAGCGGTATCATTGTCGGCTATTCAACGCACTAAAGCCACGTTTATACCTCCCGTAGTACGGTTCACCATCTCATGCACTTGTCTCTGAAGCGGGGTTACGCTCACAGAGGCCTTTAAAATGTTTGCCTTTCATCCCACAACATCGGCGGAGTCGTCTGGAGTGGTGTCAAAGCCAATCCTCATGGCTGCCATCAGACTGGATCGTATAGCGCTCAGCGATGAATCCTGCTTCACTCTTAAAGCAGATGACCACCGTGTTCGTGTCAAGAAAAGACGGGTCCAGAAGTCCCCATCAGCCTATGTTTTACAAAGGCATACAACCATAACCCCTGGTGTGATGGTGTGGAGCGCTATTTCTTATGACAGCAGGTCATCTTTAATCATCCTCCGTAGATCTTTAACAATTCAAAGATATGCTGATACCATCCTGCGGCCGATTGCATTACACTTCATGGCACATCATCCTGGGGCAATTTTCCAACAAGATAATGCCAGGCCACATACCGCTCGCATATCTCAGGACTGTCTCCATGCAGTTGATACTCTTCATTGGCCAGCAAGGTCATCAGACCTTTCACCAATCGAGCATGTATGGGACATAGTAGGCCGCCAGATTCAGGAACCACTACATATCGCAGATTCGGAGCGACAAGTGATGAATGCCTGGCAGAATGTGTCGCAGGATGACATTAGGAACCTATACCACTCCTTGCCTCGACGAATTCAAGTATGCATTTCCGCCAAGGGTGGTTCTACCAATTACTAATTTGAACTCTCAGTGGGTGATTGTGAGCCGTGAACGGGTACTATGACCTTGAATTTTTAATCATTTAATTTTCTGGTTATGAGCTATACACATATTCAGTTTATCAAAAACAATCACTTCTTTCATTTCACTTCGATTTTTTTGCAAAAGAGTGATTTTGTATTACTGAATTTCATTTTTACAGACCCTTTTTCTTAAACTAGCTTGATTTAAAGCAGTTTAAGAAAACAACCGAATTTTGTTTTCATTCGGTTTATTTCAGTGTGACACGATTCAAATATGACTTTTATTAAAAATCTAAGTTTGACATTATTCAATGAAAACAACATTATTAATGAAAACAACATTATTTATTATTAACATTATAAGCATTTAAAATAACTTACATTTATTAGAAATGTAAAGTTTTTGTAATACTACTTTTTTTAAGTAGTCTAAATTATAAACGGATTGGCTAATCTTTGGAATATAGTAACAGGTACTTTGGCGACATTTTGGTAAGGCGATAAAGGTTACTAGCTAGGACTTTAGCATTGTACATGGATAAAGTCAAGAGTGTGCACAATGCCATTTTTGTGCAATTCTGGGATGTTTTTTTAAGTGAAAATAGGTCGACGCGTACATGGATACCGTGTATGTGCAATTCTTAAAAACGCGGCAAGCAGTGGGAGATTCTGCATTTTCTCCCGATTTCGCACCTAATCTTCGTCATGATTAAGCACTTTTGTTCCATAAAAGTTCTAGCATAAGTGTATTTCGGCTAGCAGATTGTTGGATAAAAATTTTGAGTTAAAAAAAAAAAAAAAAAAAAAAAAAAAAAAAAAAAAAAAACGTGCCTTTACATAGTGAAAACAAAATGGCGTCCCACCCAAAAAAACTAGCAGGTTGCTGTAGCAGGGTTGGTCGCCAAGCTTTCGCCAAAAAAATCGCGAAGTTACCATAATCCGAAGATTAACCAACGGACTTTCAGATACACATATGTTTTTCCCATCCGCTAAATGCTAGCAGAAGAAGACCTAATTTTAAGAATTCAAGTTAACCAACCAGCTCTGTTTTATCATTTTCTTTTTACTATCACACTGCAGCTGAGTTGCAAGAAAGTGAAAACTGGTTAAAAGAATTTAAGTGATAAGCTTAGGAATTTAAAAACATATGTTGACAGATACGTTCACAATATCTTTGTGATAATTTGATCTCTCAGCGTGTTCCAACCGATATACAGTACTGAAATTTTTCTGAACGTATGAAATTTTGGTACGTTGACATAGGCTTTCTTCAACTGCACCACTGGCTGAGTGGTTACGAATGCTGAATACTTGGTAGTTTGAACTGGTTTGGGTTCAAGCCCAGGCGAACGAGCCGGTTACTTTTTTTGTGAATTTTACCATGTCTAACGTGAATACGAGCCTTTTCTCTCAGAAAATCTTCCACGAAGATAACCCTTCTCTTACAGTTATCTAAGCAGTAAGCTGTTTGCCATATTCAAAAATAATAAATATCTAGGTAAATTAGGTGAAAGCTGAATGCAAAGCTTTTCATTTTATAAACTTTCGCCATAGCAAGGTTGAAATTCTTCTGATTTTTAAAAAGAAAAATTAATTTAGGTTTTAGAAAAGAAAAGCTATTATTTTAAATCTTGATCTGCTCGTAAAAATCATACAACCATAAATACTAGTAAAAGTGAATACTTGTTACAAAATAGAAAAATCTAAAACTTGAAATTACTGCTATTTTTCGTTTAGAACTTGGCAACACAAATACACATGATGCTTCACAATACATTATACATAGCACGAAAAGCTGGAATATTAATATCGTAATCAAAATATTTAGTTTTTATCTATATTGTATATGTTTACTGTTATTTAATGCCAAAGAGTAAATATTAGTTATTAATTTTATGTAGTAATTCTGATCTCAGGGGTCATGAAGTCTTACATAAGTAAATTTTATTTCTTACCTTTCCTGTGGTTTTGTATCTGTGATAAGCATTGTTTTTTGTATAGAAAGTAACTTAATTTGTATATATATATGTAATTATATTTAATTCATATAATATGTGATTTTTACAGTTCATAAAAGGAATTAATTGTTTACATGAATAAATTATAAAAGTTTCAAAATGATATTTTGTAAATAACACATTATTTATAGTAGATTGTCATGTCTTAAACCAATCTTCTGTTTCTCATATGGATTGTTCAATACTTTTACACAAACTGCTTTTTTTCTATCGATTGTGTAAAATTAGAATTGGAAATTTCAAAAGAAACTGAAGAAAACAATGCCCGCTAAAAAGCCGCAATACAGAAATAAACTTTAAATATGCGTATAAAAATGGTATAATGTAATGTAAATGAAATAATTAGTTCACACTATATGAAATTTTTATGTCGCTGAAAACTTTCCAATGTAAGCCGACATTAAAATAACTATCCGAATATAAATCAAAAGAGGAAATCTGATGAAATCAAAAGAGTATAAAAAGTAAGTAAACAGTAAAAATTACATGAGAAAATCCCTTGAGAATACAAATTGTCTATCACGAGCCGTCTAATCGGGAAAGGGCTACGCGTACCATACAATAAACTATTCAAAGACTACGCATATCATACAATCAAACATTACTTGCCATGTTTCTAAGTGCACGGCCTGAGCGTTACACAGTTTAGTAAAGTTAGGAAAAAACGAAAATTATCAATTAAAAATGTAAATATAATATTAGGGATATTCATCTTACCCTATTATTTTATTGCATCGTAAATCTTACCCGATTATCTATTACATCTTCTATTATATATTACATCGTAAATTGTTTGGCTAGGTGGGTCGGGCTGCCCCTACTTCTGGTACCCTTATGTAAATTTTCAAATATTTGAAAGATGTAAAAAGATGAATAAAAACGGATGAAAATTGTAGATGTTTTAGCTATGAAAATTAAAATAGCTATATGTTTGCAAACCAACTGAAAGAGAGCTATGAATGCCGAAAAAAACTGTCCAAGCAAATATAAAATATATTTTACAGAGAAGCAAATATAAAATATATTTTACAGAGAAGCAAATATAAAATATATTTTACAGAGAAGCAAATATAAAATATATTTTACAGAGGAAAAAAGTCATTTAATCGCTTTTTTTTCTGCATTTTATTTTCAGAAAGAAAAAACTGAAAGAAAAGAAAGAGAACTGTTCAATAAAAGTGAAAATAATACTCCTGGTTTAAAAATGTACTTATAAAACACTTACCCCGAGTTCCTGAAGATGATGCCTTGGACCTATCCCGGACAGCATTAATAACTGTGGAGTATTGATAGATCCTCCAGACAGAATGATTTCTCTTCTAGCTTTAACTATGTAAGTCATCTTTAAACGATCAAATTCAATTGCCTTGGCCCTCTTGAAATGATCAAAGTGGATCTGGAAAAAGTAGTGACGTGAAATTATTTCTAATAAATAGTGATGTATGGAATTTATGTTTCAGTTTAGAGTTAATCAAAACTACTTGAATTATACAGATTTTCTGTAAATCTCATCCCACAGATAAACAAAGGCATATAAATTCGGCAATTGTTTAAAATAGAAATACACTTTTGCTACTGTAAGTAGCATAAAAATCTGTGCTTAGAAACCTACAAAAACACTTACTGTTTCTGATGATTCTTTCAAAAATGGTCTGCAATTCTTTATTTAGTGGTGTCAGAAATATAAAGAAGTTTTTACGGAATTTTCAGCAGCATTATAATTTATTTCAAAGAGTCAGATGCTGTATTAAAATGCAATAATAATAATATAAATGAATAATAATAATTTATTGTGTCTTTTCTAGCAACAGTCAGTAATATCAAATTTGGACCTGTTTGTAGCCATTTCGTAGTTCCAAGATCATACTGATTTATGTTGCAGAGCAACGTTTCTCACTGCAATTGCCTTTGACATTAATTCACACTTATGTAACCATAATTAAAGCATGGAATATCATTTCTTCAAGGATTTTCTTCACCTCTTCTTCAAAAGCTGTTTTAAAGACTTCTTAGAGAAGAGACATTTCCCACGTTTAATAACTTTTCCAAATACCCGTCCTATACAAAGAAGAAATATTTACATGGTGCATCATCAGGTCTCTTCAGAAGACACTGTTCAGAATTTACAAAATGATAATTTTAATCCATTGAGGAATTTTAATGTGTTTCAATAGTATGTGAGGATGCAGAATCGTAATGGAAATCTTCTTCCTTATCTAACTACATTCTTGAGAGATCATATATAAGAAACGATTTTAAAATTATATAACTTTTATCCTTGAATGAATGAAACGAGGTTTGATTATCTTGTAATGTTTTAAACCTAATAAAGCATATATCTGAACTTGAAGCAAAAAGAACTTTAGCCTTCACAAATTATCGTTTCATGTCGTTTTTGCTAAACAAGCTTTCAGATTTTATTACGCCCAAAGGGACTTTTTTTAAAGTTTTGTGTATTATCTTAATTTATTAAATATCATATTCTTCGGAATTAAACTAGAAAATTCAGTTTAACAGCAATATCCCAAAATATTTAAATAAGCATATCTTTAGGATATCTGATACAAAGTCTCGCGGGCTGGAGATAATTTTTTCTTCTGTACAGTGTTGCCAATGCTCGCTTCGAAATCGTGACTTTGTCAATTAACTCGTTAACGTTTTACAAAATATGAAATAGATAGTAAAACAAATTCAAAATTCGGGCTTTCCACGTGCCAATGTTCGGGTGGAGGATTATATTATTCAAAATTTGATGGCTCTAGATACCGTTGTTTTTTCAGTGTGAGAAACATACATACTGTAACAGCTTTAAATAGTATTAAAATCTTGTAGTTTAAATAATTTAAATAGATGAACATTAAGTTATTTGTGAATGGCAATATTTGTAACCAGACTCGAGTGCCACGTGCGACTCTCGCACGAAGAATGTAATTTATTTTTAAATGTTAGAATATGTTTTCTCTTCTTGTTTGTATGTCGCCATTTTTTTGAGTGTTAAATAAAAGTTATTTCTGTGTTCCATCATTGGAGTTGCTTGCGTCATTTCTCCAAAGAAGTATCACAGTCTTAATTATTTTGGAGGCACCGACCAAGATCGAATAATCGTGCGTATTTTTATTTTATTAGTTCATCACTGAACATAATATTAGTGATACCAGATTATTACTTCCTGTTCATATAGAATTGCTTTATTTATTAGTTCATCACTGAACGCAATATTAGCGATACCAGATTATTATTTCCTGTTAATATTAAATTGTCTTATTTTATTACCGTATTTGATATTATATTTAATATTCATTTTAGTTGTGCAGACGGTAGATATATATATTGCTCTATGTTAAATATTCTTATTTTAATCACAATTAATGTGGTAGAGGAATGAACTTCATATAATTTAAATATTTCATTTTTGAGGTATACGTACTTAACAAAGTGCATTTAATTTCGTGATTCCTGACTGCATTAATTAATTAAAGTAATTGAATTGAGCTATTTTGAGGAAATATAAAGAAAACAGTGTTCGTTAATTTTAAACATAGAAACAATGTCTTACTTAGGAAGAGCTCGTAAGGAAGATTTGCAAAATCTCGCGGCTGAACTGGGAGTTCATGTGACTGCAGATTTGAAAATAGTCGATTTAAAACAGAAAATTGTTGAAAGTAGAGATTATGATGAAGTATTCGTCAAAGGAGTCTTAGACACAATAATAGAAGAACGGAAAGTGAGGGAGGAAAGGGAAGAACGGAAAGAGAGGGAGGAAAGGGAAAGAGAAGAACGTAGGAGACAGGAAGAAGCGGAAGAGCGGAGAAGGAAAGAACAGTATGAATTAGAGAGATTAAGACTTGAAGCAGAGACAAAGTCTCAAAATACCGGACAGATCCGGCCGAAAACGGAGCTGCGTCACCTTATGCAGAAATTCGATGACAAGAAAGGAGATATCAGTCTATATTTGCTATTGTTTGAAAGGCAAGCAGAATGGGCTGAAATTGATAAAGAAGAATTTGTATCTCATTTACTAGGACTACTTCCTTACGAAGTAACCCAGTTAATAGCTAGAGAACCCTCCGATAAAGCTAAAGACTATGAACACGTGAAGAATTTATTGTTAAGACGGTTTTTTTAAAAAACTAAGCCCGGAAAAGTTTAGGCAGAAATTTATGAAACATCAAAAGAGTACCGAATCCACATGGGTGGATTTCAATTATGAAATAGAAAAAATTATTGCAAGGAATGGGTGACTGGTCTAGGAGTTAAGACTTTTGATCAGTTGCTAGATTTGATGGTGATTGACCAACTTAAGCGTCGAGTTCCTCCTGAAATTCGAGATCATTTTCTTGATGAGTGGGTAGAGATGATTTCATCTAAAAAAATTAGCTGAAAAACTTGATGCCTATGAAAACGTTTGCGGAAACTTTAAAAAAAAGCCTGTAGTGGATAGGCAGAAAGAAAGATACAATGCACTAAACTCAAGGTAAATTGAGTTCAGATATAAAAATAAAACTGAAAACAAATGTCATCAGGATTTAATACGCAAAGCTTGTTTCATAGACCTAGAAGTCCACGTCCAGATGATAAATATGAAAAAACGAAAGACGCCACAATGCTATCAGTGTGGGTCCTATCAACATTTAAGGCCCCAATGTCCAAAACTTAAGAATAGTACTGAATCTCCTGCTAATCTTAACAGAATTAGTGCAAAACCAGAGGATAAATTTCTATTACCTTATACTAGTACGGGTTACGTAAATGATCATAAAATTCCTATATTAAGGGATTCAGGTGCTAGTATCGATATAGTTTGTCGCAAATACATCACGCCGGAAATGCTGACAGGTGAAAATGTGTGGGTGCAACAGCCATTAGACTTGAATCCAACCTGTTTACCATTGGCTGAAATCGAACTAAATTGCGATCTTGGGCGAGTAATAACTAAGGCTGCCATTATTAGAAATGAACTCGACAAAGGAAGGTATTTATTAGGCAATCGAACTTTTGCACTGTTGAATAAACAAGGAAAGGAGCCCTGATAGTTGTCCTCACCAGGTTAATGCTGTCTCTACTAGAGCTCAAAGGAAAAGAGAAATAGCTGAAGAGAAAGCTCTTGGAACCGATGAAGGAAGAAAATAAAGCATCCAGAGATGTTTTTGAAGAAGAAGATAATTTACCGGAACTAAATACGGAAGATGAAGCTCTCATGAAACTGGTAAAAATTGACTCAGAAGAAATTGCACAACTTCAGCTTGCTGATAAGGAACTGTCTAAAATCATCCAAGAAGTTAAAGAGGTACATGCAAAAATGAGAACTATAGTCTGACAGGAAAAGAACTTTTAGTTAAAAAAACGACGGATAAAATGGGCTTTGAAAGACAGCTTGTCGTTATACCTGAAAAACTCAAGCCGTCAATTATAAAGATGTGCCACGAAGGAACTTCTGGTCATTTGGGTGTCAAAAAGACCAAAGACAGACTTGCTAGATATTTTACTGGACGAGGTGTTTACAAAGAAAACTGAAGATTTTTTGTAAGAACCTGTGATGCTTGTCAGCGCGCTGGAAAAGGAAATGACAAAAAGAAGGCTCCAATGACATTAGTACCAGTAATTTCCGAAATATTCACTAAAATAAATGCCGATGCCGTTGGTCCGCTACCTATTTCGAAGACTGGAAAAAAATATATTATTACAGCTCTGTGTATGTCGTCCAAATATCCAGATGCTGTAGCGGTGACAGACATTTCTTCGCCATCTGTGATTGATGCTTTCTTACAGATTTTCAGTCGTATGGGTTTCCCAAAAGTGATCCAAACAGATCAGGGGACATCTTTCGTCAGTGCTTTGACAGAGGAATTTTTGGAGCGTTTCGGCATTAAACATGTAAGAAGCTCTGTGTATCATCCGCAGAGTAATCCCGTTGAGCGATTCCATAGAACGCTAAAAAAGGGTGTTAAGAGTCGTATGTATAGGAGCGACTTCGGATTGGGAGAATTATCTACCATCAGTTCTTTTTGCTCTCAGAACAGTCACACACGAAAGCACTGGTTTTACACAGCAGAATTAGTTCATGGCAAAAACCTACGAACGCCAGTCACTTTACGTTATGAGCAGTGGCTAGAACCGATTGAAAGAAAGTAATAATGTTGTCAGTTACGTTTTCGAACTTATTAATCGAATGAAGAAATGCCAAGAACTTGCCGTGGAAAAAAAACATGAAAGAAGCTCAACAACGGAGGAAAACATGGTACGATCGAAACGCAGTGAAAAGAGAATTTGCTAGAGGAGATTTAGTTCTTGTTTTATCAACGAATCGTCAAAATAAACTAGAAGTACAGTGGAAAGGACCTGGAAAAATAGAGCAGAAAATTTCAGAAACCAATTATATTGTAAGTTTCGAGGAAC